ATAGATTCTTCTCAGATGGTCTGCCTGACGAACATCCATACCCTGAGATACGTAGATAATTCAAATTAAATGCCTCGTAAATAAAAATCTACCAGAGTAATCGTAGCTAAATACATTGCATCCTAGACGATGGCCTAGTCCCCAATAAAATGATGTCATCTGGCCGATATCGACAGCGTTTCCATGTGAGAATAGTAATGTGAAATATGCATTTGGGACAGGTCGCACGTAAACGCAGGAAATCTTATTTCGTCTCCTTGTTCTAAAAAACGGGAAGGCTTGCAAAATAGCAGAGATACACAAGAAGTCATCCTCACCTAGCAACGAACATTTCCACATTCGTGTTTAGATGTTCTGGATCATGCGGCCATTCTGCACGTCCTTCGAGTAGATGTAACCTTCAGACAGAATGGTAAGTCGAAGAAAATAGGGTTGTTATATAAAAATACCTATTATTTTCTGTGATGGAGTAGCTTGACTCAGGAGGCATGAATGCTAGTTTCGATACGATTGACGATGGGAATGGTGGGCAACAAAACAAACAGCACAAATACCTGCTAACGATGAATTAAAGAAGTTCAAATAAGTGGATATTTTGTACTCTGAAATGGGTGTAGTAGTAAAAAAAGATGTTTTGCGCTCAGCTTCTAACATGTAATTTTTTTATCCTACACATCATTTAAGAATGTTTGTGATAGGCTTGAGGATAATAATACCTAAAAACTTGCGAAGCTATTGAGAAAAATGCAAGTTTACATCAGATAATCCATACGTAGTAGAACAAAAGAGGAAAGCATTGGTAGATTGATTGAAAGAGAAGAATTTGGATACTAATCTGCGCTTTATCTTTGTGAGCACATGATACAACATTTTCATTAAAACCAAAAATTAACAGCAAGAATTTAATTCGAAAGGGAAACGCCTATAACCCATCAATGTCATGGCCATTAAAACACAAAAAAAGCAAATTTTTTTGCGTTCATATTTCAGTCTACTGCTACTACAAACCGTAGCAAAGGTAAATATATAGATTATAACTACAACTACTAACCTAACAGATACCCTTCCAGCTGCAGGTGGAGACGCAGCGCCCATGCCAACATCAGATCCACTT